GATCTGACAGAGACTGGAGAAACCCCAAGAGTATGGCCCCCAGTACTGAAGTCACTCCTGAGGTTCACCCTTCAGCCACAGATTAGACAGGTCCGTAGTGCCAACAGTAACACACATGAGGGATGTACCTCACAGTTTGGCCATATATACGAGACTAGTGGGCACACCAGCCTCACAGCAAAGATGAGAAGGCAGGAAGGGACAGGAAGACTGGACAAATGGAAACAGGGGAACCTCGGGTGAAGAAGGGGAGAGCGTTGACACATCATGGGGTTGGTGACCAATGTCACAAAACAATTTTGTGTATTAATTGTTTAATGAGAAACTAATTTGCTCTGTAAACTTTCACCTAAATCACAAAAAACAAATAAAAATAACCAAAAGAATGCAAAGAATGAGAAAAAAGTAACATTAGGAGGACAAACAAATATAAGATGGTAGGGATTTAAATCCAGATATATAAGTAATTACATTAAATGTAAATAACAGAATATTCCAATTAATAGACAAAAGTTGTCAGATTGTATTTAAAAAACTGTATTTGGTTTACAAAGAGACACATCAAAATATAAAGATACAGAAGAAAGAACACTATAGAATAAGGGCAAACCAGTCTACATTCTCATCAGTCTGGTTTGATCCATTTCATTACTGGTCGACTTTCATGTACAAACAGCTGTAATAGACTATAGTTGTTTTTTTTTTTTTTTAATTCTTGAATTCCTTTGGAAGAGCAGTTCTCAAGGTGGGCTTCCCAGATCCCTGGAGAGTCCTTGAGACCCTTTTAGGGGGTCTGTGTGGTCACAACTATTTTCATAGTAATATTAAGAAGTTCTGTTGCCGTCAAGTCGATTCCAGCGTAGAACTACCTCATAGGGTTTCCAAGGCTGTAATCTTTATGGGAGCATACTGCCATGTCTTTCTTCCGCGGAGCAGCTGGTGGGTTCAAACCACCAACCTTTCAGTTAGGAGCTGAGCACTTAACCACTGTGCCACCAGGGCTCCCTGGAGAAGGACATCATGCTTGGTAAAGTAGGAAGACTCTTAATTAGATGGATTGGCAACAGTGGGCTCAAACATACCAACTATGTGAGGATAAGGAGCCCTGGTAGCACAGTGGTTAAGCGCTCGGCTGTTAACCCAAAGGTCGGCAGTTTGAACCCATCAGCCACTCTGAGGGAAAAAGATGTAATTTGCCTCCATAAAGATTACAGCCTTGGAAACCCTATGGGGCAGTTGTACTCTGTCCTATAGGGTTGCTATGCATCGGAATCGACTTGATGGCCACTGCTTTGTTGTGAGGTGGTAGAACTGAGCAATGTTTCGTTCTGTTACACAGAGTCGCTATGAGTCGGAACTGACTCAACAGCACATAACAATAACACTAAGACGTTACAGGCATACCTTGGAAATATTGCAGGTTCAGTTCCAGACCACTGGAATAGAGCGAATATTGCAATAAAGCGAGTCATACGAATGTTTGAGTTTCCCAGAGCATAGAAAAGTCATGTGTATACTATACTGTAGGCTACTAAGTGTGCAATAGCATTACGTCTAAAAAATCAATGTATATACCTTAATTAAAAAATACTACATTGCTAAAAAATGCTAACCATCATCTGATCCTTCAGCAAGTCGTACTCTTTTTGCTGGTGGAGGGTCTCGCCTGGATGTTGATGGCTGCTGACTGATCAAGGTGGTAGTTGCTGAAGGTTGGGGTGGCTGTGGCAATTTCTTAAAATAAGACAGCAATGAAGTTTGTTGCATCAATTGACTCTTCCTTTCACGACAGATTTCTATGTAGCATGTGATGCTGTTTGATAGCGTTTTACCCACAGTGGAACTTTCAAAATTGGAATCAATCCTTAAAAACCCTGCCACTGCTTTATCAACAAAGTTTGTGTAATATCCTAAATCCTTTGTTGTCATTTCAACAACATTCACAGCATCTTCACCAGGAGTAGATGCCGTGCCAAGAAACCACTTTCTTTGCTCATCCACAAGAAGCAACTCTTCATCCATTAAAGTTTTGTAATGAGATTGCAGCAATTCAGTCACATCTTCAGGCTCCACTTCTAATTCTAGTTCTCTTGCTATTTCCACCTCATCTGCAGTTATTTCCTCCACTGAAGTCTTGAACCCCTCAAAGTCATCCATAAGGGCTGGAATCAACTTCTTCCAAACTCCTGTTAAAGTTGATATTTTGACCTCCTCCCGTGAATCATGAATGTTCTTAATGGCATATAGAATGGTGAATCCATTCTAGAAGGTTTTCAATTTACTTTGCCCAGATCCGTCAGAGGAATCACTATGGCAGCTATAGCCTTATGCAGTGTATTTCTTAAATAATAAGACTTGAAAGTCAAAATCACTCCTTGATCCATGGGCTACAGAATGGATATTGTGTTCGCAGGCATGAAAACAAATTAATCTCCTTGTACATTTCCATCAGATCACTTGGGTGACCAGCAGTAATATTGTAAAAGGGATCTTTTCTTCTGAGCAGTAGGTCTTAACAGTGGGCTTAAAATATCCAGTAAAACATGTTGTAAACAGATGTGCTATCATCCAGGCTTCGTTGTTCCATTTACAGAGCACAGGCAGAGTAGATTTAGCATAGTTCTTAAGGGCCCTAGGATTTTCAGAATGGTAAATGAGCATTGGCTTCAACTTAAAGTCACCAGCTGCATTAGCTTCTAACAAGAGAGTCAGCCTGTCCTTTGAAGTTTTGAAGCCAGGCACTGACTTCTCCTCTCTAGCTATGAAAAGTCCTAGATGGCATCTTCTTCCAGTATAAGGCTGTTTCATCTACACTGAAAATCCATGGTTTAATGTAGCTGCCTTCATCAATTATCTTAGCGAGATCTTCTTGCAGCTTCTACATCAGCACTTGCTGCTTCACCTTGCACTTTACGTTATGGAGGAGCTTCTTTCCTTTAACCTCATGAACCAACCTCTGCTAGCTTCAGACTTTGCTTCTGCAGCTTCTTCACCTCTCTCAGCCTTCAGAGAATTGAAGAGAATTAGGGCCTTGCTTTGGATTGGGCTTCGGCTTAAGGGAATGTTGTGGCTGGTTTGATCTCTCCAGGCCACTAAAATTTTTTCCTATCGGCAATAAGCCTATTTCATTTTCTTATCATTTGTGTGTTCACTGGAGTAGCACTTTTAATTTCCTTCAAGAACTTATCCTTTGCATTCACCACTTGGCTAACGGTTTAGTGCAAGAGGCCTACCTTTCAGCCTGTCTCGGCTTTCAACATGCCTTCCTAAGCTTAATCATTTCTAGCTTTTGACTTAAAGTGAGAGATGTGACTCCTCCTTTCACTTGAGCACTTAGAGGCCATTGTAGGGTTATTGACTGGCCTAATTTCAATATTGTTATGTCTCAGGGAATAGGGAGGCCTGAGAAGACGGAGAGAGATGGGGGAATGGCTGGTCGGTGAAGCAGTCAGAACACATACATTTATGGGTTAAATTCGCCGTCTTACACGGGCATGGTTTGTGGTGCCCCAAAACAATGACAATAGTAACATCAAAGATCACCGATCACAGTTCATAATAATGAAAAAGTTTGAAATATTACGAGAATTACCAAACTCTGACACTGAGACACGAAGCGAGCACATGCTGTTGGAAAAATGGCACCAATAGACTTGCTCAACGCAGGGTTGCCACAAACCTTCAATTTGTAAGAAATGCAGTATCTGCGAAGCGCAATGAAGTGAAGCGCCGTAAAACGAGGTCTGCCTGTATTTGTCTTTTTCATCGTGCTGAGGTGCAGAAGCAACTGTGGGTAAGGCTGCTGGTGTCTTAGCATAAATCAGGACGGTGGCACTGAATGGTACAAGTAGTCATTGTATTGCTGTGCCATCGCAGCTAAGAAAAAAAGGGCCACTTGTGTTTTAGTATGTCCTTGATGAAGTAGTACAAATTATTAATTTTATTAAATCCAGGCCCTTGAGTTTTTAATAGTCTGTGCGACAACGTACCTGGAAGGCAGCTCTGCTGAATACCCCCGATGAAGGAAAAGCACTCGTTGGATTGTCTGAGTTGAGAACGGAGCTGAACGAATTGTTTTTGGTGCTTTTACTTGAACAAACAACTGCAGACAAATGACGGCGCCTGAGACTTGGGTGTTTGGCAGAGACTTTCACGAATGGAGCTCTGGTGGCGCGGTGGTTAAGAGCTATGGTGAGCCGTGGCTGCTAACCAAAATGTCGGCAGTTCAAATCTACCAGCCCCTCACTGGAAACCCTACAGGGCATTCCTGCTCTGTGGTATTGGGTCGCTGTGAGTTGGAATCGACTCAGTGGCAATGGGTTTGGGTTCAGTTTTCGGTCTCACAAACGAGCGAAGTGAGCCTATCGCTTCAGGAAACATAACTGATGGTGTTTGTTGCCGTCGATAAAACTGAGCGTTTGAGTGAAAATTACAGCAGTTTCCCTGCCCTTGAAATGCCCTGCACTTCGCCGATTCTAGGGCCTCTGTTTCGGTTTGTCTGGGTGCAGCCCCGGCACCAGGATTTTTCGACGTTCACCAGATGATTCTAACGTGCAGCCCAGGCTGAGAATCACCACCTTGTCAGACGTGGAGATTACAGGGTAGACCGAGAGATGTATTTCTGAGTAGTTGGTAAGGACATCGGGGTTGCTGAAGCAGTTGTTGTCGTGTGCCCTGGAGTCGATTTTCGACTCACAGCAACCCCATGTGACGGGGAGAACTGCCCTAGAGGGTTTCCTAGGCTGTAATCTTCATGGGACTAGATCGCCAGGTCTTTCTCCCACGGAGCCGCTGGGTGGGTTGGAACCTCAACCTTTTGGTTAGCAGCTGAACACTTAACCACTGCGCCACCAGGGCACCTTTGGTAAAGTAGAGGGTCAGCAAAACCGAGGGGAACCCTCCATGAGATGAATTGACACAATAGCGTCAACAGTGGGCTCAAAAGTTCCAACATCCGTGAAGACGGCAGGCCACCAGGCACCGTTTCACTCCGTTATAAAGTCGCCATGGGTCCCAGCTGATTGCTGGCAACTAACAACAACAGAGATTAACAGGTCTTGGGACTTCACTCGTGCCTTCTTCTAGTCTGCAAATGAAAGCATTTCTTTTTCTCTTTAATGAAAATGTATATCCAGTCATCCGACAAAGATTTGCCAAGCATCTGCTCTGTGCAGGCTCATTTGTTAGTGCTGTGGGTCGGGTGGTGAACAAACCAAAGAAGCCTTGCGCCCTGCGCCCTGCGCGCGAGTTCTCTGGAGAAGAGAGTAACACGCGACAGGACAAATCTGTCCTTATTCATCTCTCATGTTCTGTGGGTTGTCGGTGGACCTAAGAAACACCAGGGTCCAATCCGGTGCTGACTCTGGGTGTGCTTTGCCCTCAGGATGAGCTTTGGCCCCGGTTTGCTACCGTCCTCCTCGGACTTGGGGCCTCTGGAGTCCGCGGGGCCTTTGGAGTCCGCGCAGCCCCAGGCGGAAGCGCCCTTCGCAGCCCGCGGGATCTTCTCGGAGGAGGTGGCGTCGGTGGCCCGGCCCCGGCCTGTCGGGGGCACCACAGGTACGAGGGGCTCTTCAGGTTGCACCCTGGACTAGAGGGCGAGTGTTTTCGGCTACAGACTGCAAGAGTATGTTTTAGACTCCCCAGGGTCTCCGCGCCCCTTCCTGTTGCTGGTGAAAGCGGTGCTGGTGGAGACGGAGGGGCGGTGTTGGCTGGGGTCCCCAAGACATCTCCGCTGCGTTGTACCTGTAATCCTCGGCTCAAAAGCAGCCCCTTCAGTGGAAGTCGCAGCACACTGTCCCAGGGAGGACCTTTCTAAATTCTTATGGTACACTGAGAGATCTGTGTCTGAGCGCAGATAAGGCATTGCGCTAGTCAAATAGGGCTGCCTAACACAGCAGCACTACCTGGGTGGCTTACAACAAGCGAAATTTATTGTCTCACAGTTCTGGAGACTAGAGATCTAAAACCAGGGTGCCAGCGAGGCCGCGTGCTCTCCAAAAGCACTAGGCAAAGATCCGTCCTTGACTCTTCCAGCTGCTGGTGCTCCAGGTGCTCCTAGGCTTATGGCTGCATCCCTCCGGCCTTCATGTGTCCTTCTCCCCTCTGTGGATCTCTGTGTCTCTTCTCTTTTTAGAGACACCAGTCCTTGGATTTAAGGACCACCCTACTCCAATATGACCTCTTCTTCACTAATTACGTCTGCAAAGACTCTATTTCCAAATACGGTCACATGCAGAGGTTCCAGGTGGACATGGATTTTGGGGGGACACTCTTCAGCCCATTGAAGGCATTAAAGCAAATGGTTGTTGTTTTAAGAAAGGTGCTTTTCCAGCTTGTAATAAGCAACTCTTAAAGTTGCTGGACCATGTTTGGAGGGAGATTTGTGGTTTATTTTGTCACCTCGGGAGGGTGCAGCTGCTGTTTCTTCATCAAACCTCACCTCCCTCTTTTTTCCCTTCTCTCTCTCTCGCTCTCCCAAGGTCACGTCCTCCCCTTGCTTATATCCCCCGCACTCTGCTCATGCCCCCGTGCCCGTGCGAGTCTTCTAGGTCCTCTCCTCGCCTCTCTCAAATCTTCAAAGAATAATTTTAGTGTCATTCGTGGGTAACCCATACAGGTCTTCACTTCAGAATTGAACAGAGAAGTCCTAGTACATATTAGCTGCCACTGTTATTACTGCTGGAGCCCTGGTGGCGAAGTGGTTAAGACTCAGCTGCTCACCAAAAGGTCGGCAGTTCAAATCCACCAGCTGCTCCTTGGAAACCCCATGGGGCAGTTCTACCCTGTCCTGTAGGGTCGCTGTGAGTCAGAATTGACTCGATGGCAACAGTTTTTTTTTTTTTTTTTTGGTTTTTTTTTTAGTATTACTGCTACTATTATATTATCCCAGGTGGTGGTGTGAATCGTTAAGCTTTTGAAAAGCAGGGTAGTAACATGATTTATGAGCCTGTGGTTTGGTAATGATACTACTTGGAATCTAGTCTACCCCCCGGAAAGAAACCCAGAATATTGGGGGAAAACTATGTGTTGGAGACGTTTATGGCAGCGTTATTCATAATCGCAAAAAAAAAGTTTGCCCCTAAGTGCCTAAAAACAAGGGTCTGGGGGGGTGAACTGTGCAGCTATTTAAAATGCAGAGCCCGTGGAGAGCTGGAGGGAGGGGATTTCAGACTGACCCAAGGCCTCCTGCGTGCTTGGTACCTGACCTGTTTTATCTCTTAATCCTTGGAATAACCCTACGTGGTAGATTTTTCTATCCACCTTTGAGAAGTGAGGAGCCCTGGTAGCTCAATGGTTAAAGCACTTGGCCGCGAACCGAAAGGTTGACGGTTCGAACCAGCCAGCGGCTCTGCAGGAGAAAGATATGGTAGTCTGCTTCCATAAAGATTTATAGCCTTGGAAACCCTATGGGGCAGCTCCACTCTGTCCTGCAGGGTTGCTGTGAGTCGGACGATTAGCCAGCAATGAGTTTGGTGTTTTTGGTTTTGAGAAGTGAGGGATTGGGGCTTGGTGGAGTGGGAGCAGTGTGTCCCTGTCCCGCGGTTTCTGGGTGCCCAGTTGTGCCCCAGCCTGGGGCACAGGGAGGCTCTCTGGGCTGGGGCTCTGCGCTGAGTCCTGGGGGAGGCTGTTTTGTGTTGGGAGGTGAACACAGCAGGACAAAAAAACGTGTCTGAGTTTTGATTCCAGCTGCTGCTCCGACTTTAACACACCAGGGCTGCCTTTCTCTCTATGCAATTATCTGAGCCTTTGATGGCGATACTGGGCTGTATTTGTAGTTCTTTGCAAAGATGCAAAGACTTGCTCAAACCGTGACTGGTCGGCCAACAGTACCTATAAGTCCCAATAGTTTTAAGTTGATTTTCTGTAACTACAAACGTTCCAATGAGTGCATTGCTCTGGCAGCACCCTGGACAATGTGTCCTGACCTTTAGTTACCGCTGTGTATCTGCTGTGGAGCCCTGGTGGTGCAGTGGTCAACAGCTCAGCTGCTAACCAAAAGTTCGGCAGTTCGAATCCACCAGCCACTCCTTGGGTCCACCAGCCACTCTATGGAGCAGTTCTACTCTGTGCTGTCGGGTCACTGTGAGTCGGAATCCACTCAATGGCAGTGGTTTTTGGTATTAGCCTTTTATATCATAGTGCTTAGAGACCACTTTTTTCCTCCCTAATTTGCAGTATAGGGATATCCCCATGTGCTAAAAGTTGTTGAGGGAGAAAAACTTGTTGTTTAAAAGCTGGCTTTCATATCGGTGTGAAGCGATATCGTGTGTCGGTGTAGGGGAATTAACGCCAGACAGCCTTCTAGCTTTGCTAGTGATGAGGCTGGGAAGTGGGTTTAAACATTCAATTGTGATGCAGCCAGGTTATGGAGACATTGTGAGTATTATGAAAATGTACCTCAGCATCCTGAATTCAAATAAATACACGTCCTGCCCTTTAGGGAAGAGAAAGCATGTTGTGTTTTCAGCTCCTTTGTGAATCTCCAAGGTAGAATCAGGAAGGAGCCAGGTTTCCGCTTTCTTTATGGCTCTAGAACCTTTTATTCCTTTCTTCTGAGAAATATGGTCATCCTTACTTGTAGCCTCCACAGAAATGAAAGCAAGCGCCTTCTGATTTCCCCTTTCTCCCTAGCCCTTTGATGTCTGTTCAGGAAAATGAGAGCATCACCGTCAGCCTCCGTGTTAAAGGGAAGTAAAAGCTCATCAACAAGGAGACACACAGCCCGCCTTTCTTGAGGAAATGTCATTCTCTAAGGCTCGACTGCTAACCAAACTGTTGGCGGTTCCAACCCATCCAGAGGTGCCTTGGAAGACAGGCCCAGCGATCTGCTTCCGAAAGGTGACAGCCTTGAAAACCCTATGGGGCAGTTCTATTCTGCACACATGGGGCCGCCACGAGTTGGAATCTACTTACCAACAATGGGTTGGTTGATTGGTTAGCACTGGTACCATGTTTGAAGGGTGCTTGTGACCCCTGGTCCTTAAGGACGGACAGTGGACAGACTGAAGTGGCTGTATGTGGCGGTCTTACTGTGCTATAGCGATTGACCAGGCGGCCCGCCACTGTGTTTCCTTCCAGGTTCCCAGATCCAGCACCTCACGCAGGTGGGGATTGCAAGCAGGATTGGCGGTCAGCCCGGGGAGGCCCCGCCAGGCCGGGGTGGCCAGTATGGGGGGCCGGGATGGATCGTGTACGGGGAGGACGAAGCTGGGCGGAGAGAGGCTGTGAGTATTTGGTGTTTGGGTCATTGTTTAAAAATCAGACATAACGACTTCATTTCGCTCCTTCTGCTTTGGGGATCCCTTTTGAAACCTACATAAAAGCAGGTTTAATCGCCCTCAGCTTGTTTTTTCTTGCAGCTTTTAGATGGTAAATTCCCCTGCACCCAGAGTGGGAGGGAGCTGACATTGCATTCTGGAAGGCCTAATCTTTCCAGGGGCAGACTCAGGCTCACAGTCAGTATCTGCTTACCTCCTTCAGCTCTCAGACTTCCCTTCTGACCTTTCACTGCGTGGGGTGTTCCCACCTCCCTTCCTTCCCAACGCCTTGAGTCCTTTCCTGTTCTCCCTCTGGGCCAGGAGCTCCAGGCTGGCTCCCTTGTCCCCACCTGCCCCCTTCCTCACCCAGCAGACAGGGATTTGCCAACTGGACTGAGAGCTGAAATACTCACTCAGCCGCACGTTCATTCAGCTATCTGTCTTTAAGCAAATAGTTCATAAGCAGTTGTTAAGTCAGGAATTTCGGGGCATTGCAGATGGTTAAGCGCTCCCTACTAGCTGAGAGGTTGGCAGTTCAAACCCACCCAGAGGCACCTCAGAAGATGGGTCTGGCGATCTGCTTCCGAAAAGGTCACAGCCTTGAAAACCCCATGGAACAGTTCTACTCTGCACAGATGGGGTCGCCATAACAACAATTTGTTAGCTCCAAAAAACCAACCAAACCTCTTGCCCTCAAGTGGATTCCTACTTATAGCGACCCTAAGGACACAGCAGAACTGCCCCCCCATAGGGTTTCCAAGATTGTAAATCTTTATGGAAGCAGACTGCCACATCTTTCTCGGAGTGTCTGGTGGGTTCAAACTGCCAACCTTTTCGTTGGCAGCTGAGCGCTTAACCATTGCGCCGCCAGGGTTTTCTTACCGTCCCTCTTTCCCTTGAACAAGTCCTCTACAATAACCCTATCTCAGGGGGCCCCGTGGAGGGCGGAGCTGTTGGGAGGGAGATAGCGGGGGGCGTCGTGAGCTTCCCAGAGCCGTTTGACTTGACTTTCCTGCCCCTTCTAAGTAAGAAGTGCGGTCACGTTCGCCGTGTTTTTCAGACCCACATGCTTGGACCTCAAGAGCATTCTTCTCCACGGCTGTTTCAGGTGCCAAGGACTTCGGCCAGGGAACCGACGGCCCCGCCCGGGAACCTCCCGCCCAGGGCTCTGCAGGGCCCCGGGCTGCCTTACGCCCCCGGCGGCTCCACCGAGGACCTGCAGCCCGGCCACTCGTCCACGTCTCTCATCAAAGCCATCCGCGAGGAGCTCCTGCGGCTCTCCCAGAAACAGAGCGCCGTGCAGAGCTTCCGCAGCTGATGGTGCCGCGCGCCTGCCGCCGTGCTGCTTCCCGTGGAAGCCGGAGCGAAGGAACCCAGGGAGGGCGGCTCCTAGGGGAACGGCCGCCGCTCCTGCAGGGCGGCCGCGGGACCCCCACTCGTGCAGGGCGGCCGCGGCAGGGGGCGTCCCCGAGGAAGCCATCGGGTCTTACGGCCGCTGACGGTACTTTCGGTACTAGGTTGGCGACCTTCGGACCACTGGGCTCCGTGGGAATGAACTGTGCGTTTGGCCGAAAGCCAGCAGCACTTCGTGAGAGACAAGACACAACCCTAAGCTAACAACCTGACTAAACGACTCAACTTTTTAAAGACAAAAACTTCCAATGTGTAGATGGTGTCGGGGGTGGGGGGAATCGCTCCATTTCCGGGGCAGGAGACTGATTTGTACGATGAAACTGCTGCTTGGTTTTCTGAGAAGAGATTTGAAGACGTTTTATGAACGGCTGGATTTCCCTTTCTCTTTATTTTATTAGTAATATTAACAACAGGAATAATAATCGACGGTTGGGAATTTTTACAAAAGCTACTAGTGAGAAACCAAAACGATAGGTTGTTCGGGCCTGAGATCCCCCACGAAGCCATTGCCTCATCCTTCCTTCTCTTTCTTCTGGTGCTACCGCTCCAAGGGCGCCTTCACCCTCACGTCCTCCAAACGAAACGTCGGCTTTTTCGATGGAAGTATATGTTGAAGGTTTCATTCTGTTCTGGAAAAAAACAACCACCACCCAGATTTGGGGTGGCGGGGGGAAGCTTAATATTTATTTGGTTATTCAAAATACATATCGAAGTTTAGATTTCCATTCTTAATTGTATTTTCTGTTTGTTACTTGGGAGTGGACAGACAGCACCCCATTTCAGCGCATATCATGATGAAGGCCAGTGCCCTAGAAAGAGGCTTTCCAGGGGGCCTAACCCGTATCCTTGCGCGTGGCTGAGGAGTTGCTCACAGGGTGTGTTTGAGTGAGAAATCTAGGGTAAGCAAAAACTACTTAGAAAGATTCTTGGGCTACCAGGTGTTTATTCATGAGAGCGTGACTAGCTGTCACAGTCCCTGTGTTAAGACCTATTGTGAAACACGGTTTTCAAGTCAGCCTTTCCATAGTGAGTGGAGAAATGTAGAGAAGAGCTCTGAGACTACAGCCACAGGAGGAGAGACCGGGCCCTCATTTCTGCTTTTCCTGCTCATTGCTCTGTGGAAGGACTGTTGGAACCATCCCAGGCACTTTGGGCCTGAGGGAGGGGGGCCAACTCACCGGTGAGTTACACGTGAAATAAATGTGTCCCCACTCCCTAAATTATAGTAAGGGACGTGATGAGCACAGGCCATTCTGCTTTCTGGCACCTGAGGGAGCCAAAAAGAGTAACCGTCTTAGGTAACAGATTTCCACAGTCAGTCCCCTTTTATTAGGTCAACCAATACTTTTAATTAAAAGATAAGCCGGTAGGATTTAGGGCTCTGATTAATGAAAACTGTGCATCTGTGTCAGGTAGGGGGAACCCTAACACGGCTGAAATGGGTTTCCAAAGTGGAATCCTTGGGTTCCAGGATCACGCTTCAGCACTTCCTTCATTTCGTTAGGCTGTTCTGCAGAGTTAGGATCTTACACTCCAGGGAAAGTGGCTCTGGGAAGTGAAAATGTAGCCATTTTGCTTCTGTGCACCCCTAAAAGACAAGGGGTGCTAGAGACTTTGCCACTCAAGAATGGTTAAAAAAAAAAAAAAAAGCAATGGAAACTCCTTTTCAGGCACTCCTCGGTGGCCCCAAAGAGGGTGGAGAAAAGGCCCGTCTGGGCTTGATTTCTTACCTCTCTGGGCCTTGGTTGAAAACCAGACTTTCCCCAGAGTGGAGGATTCTCTTTGCATGTTGCTCAGAAAATACCAGGTTTCCTGAGCATGTTGTTAAGAATTCCTGATACCCGAGCAGCGTTTTCTCATGAACATCTTGCAGTCCATTCAGATCCTGCCACAGCAAGTGGAATAAATGCAGCCCCTTCCCCTCCCGCTCTGCTCAGCTTCCTGTTTGCACGTGGTGTGCTCAAATGGTTTCCTCCTGTGTGCTGCAGAAATGGCCTCTGTGTTTAAAAGGGTTGAATGCAACAGCAGTGTTCATGCCTTTCAAACTAGCATAAAGGGAGTCTACCTGTAATTTTATTCTCAGAGTATCTTAACAGACACACTTTGAAAGAGATTGTCAAGACCAAAGACACCATTGATAAACCACCAGTGGTAGGTTGTTTGGTGCGAGCAGGCCCACCAGGTCGCCAACACTGCTATCCTGTTGGCCATAAAATACATCCAGCTGGCGTTGCTTTCTCTAAATACCTGCTACAACAATTCTCCAAACTCCCAACTCAGAACTAACGAGCGTGGTAGGAAGTACCACACCAGAACGGGTCATCTGAAGCAAAAGTGGTGTAATCTACCTAAAAGAAAGGTCTTCTCACTGATCTTGTGTGGCTTTGGCGTTCCATTTATGGAAGCACTCTAAAACTAAGAGTTACATTTTATGTTTATTTTCTCCTATTTTAAAAGTTCTCGTGGTAACATGAGCTACGCATTTGAGTCCGAATTTTAGAGAAGATTGTTCGGAGACGCAGAAGTGATTTTCAGAGCCCACTCTGCTGCTAGCTTGGTGCATCAGGTCCCTTCCCTGAGCCTCATTCTCACCATCAGCCAAGTGAGAACACACCTGCCTGCCCACCTCACAGGGCCACAGGTGTGAGAATCAGCTGTGAGCATGTGTGTGAAAGACCTGGAGGAGTGTAAAGCACTGTGAAAAATGTAAAGTTTTGTCTGTGTTGATGCCCTGGGATGGGTGATCTGATGACCTGTGATCTACCAGTGAAGGGGTTCATATACAGGTCACCGGAGCAGGACTAAAATCAAAGGGTGACTCCTCGTCTTCACCTCTGTTTTGCTTTGAACTCATTTCCTTCACCATTATCTTTCAAACACCATTTACTAAACATCTGTCTGCTCTTGATCTGCTGCTGCTTCTGGCACCAAACAAATCAGCAGACCCAGATCTTGCCTTCTGAGATCTTATGATCTAAGTAGATAATACAGCTAGCTATAAAAAAAGATGGAAGATAAAGATAACTAAGGACTTAAATATCAGCAATATTTATTGAAAGTACACAAGTGTATTGGGTCCTTACTGAGGGCAATTGATGGAAATTGTACATTGGGAAGTGGTAGGATGTTGGGGATAAGTCAGCCTCCGAAGCTACTTTAATGAAGACGGGAGCTGCCTAAGCAAATGGTGGGATGGCTGGGAAGAGAGAGAGCGGACTTGGGACAGGTTTAGGAACTGGATGATGTTGTCATTGAATGGACTTGATCCTGATCTGCCACAGTAGGGGGACAGAATCCCTAACTGCACTGTCCGGGAAATTTTAGATGAAGAGGACGCTATACTGTGAAGATACATTTGCAGTAACACAGCAAGAAAGTGACCAGGTCTGTGAAGAAGGTTTGCAGAGGAAGAGATCCAGCCTATAGGAGGGAAGGGGAGAGTACCCATAACCGATGAAGGACCAAGTGTAAAGTATGAAAGACGTGATGAGGATTACACTGAGGTTATTGCTTAGAGCAGGTCTCAGTGGTTGGTCATTTGGCCACATTAAATTTTGGGGGAGCATAAGAAACCAACCGAACCCGTTGCCATCGAGTTGATTCTGACTCAGAGCGACCCTATAGAACAGAGTAGAACTGCCCGCATAGAGTTTCCAAGGAGTGCCTGGTGGATTCGAACTGCCAACCTTTTGGTTAGCAGCTGTAGCTCTTAACCACTACACCACCAGAGTTTCCTGGAGAGCATAGTGAGTTATAAATAAATATATTCTGCCTCTTTATACAGCTACCTACACAGTTTTCTCCAGATTGTGTTTAATTTCAGTGTGCGCTGATTTTGGTGGCATGTGGCTTTTCAGCAACAGGCTAAGTGGCTTCTTGGCACTGAGAGCCTTCAGGGCATGAGGCCCGTGATTCAAGCACAGGTGAAGGTACGTGCGAAAGGCTTTGGGCAGAAAAAGTCATTGCAAGCTTTACGAGCCTCCATTTCCCAGGTATGGGGTCAGGGATTATTCAGTGAGTGCCCCTCAAACACAAATTTGCATGTACAGTCATTCTCGAGTTAATCATTACGTCCACTTCTCTTATAATCCCTTTCTTACTAGATTCATAGATGTGAATGAGTTGGTTAGAAGGCAATCTGGTGAAGGTTCTGGGCAGGGGTCAGGAGGGCTCCAATCTTAACTACTGACTGACGTTAGCACGAACAGAGTTTCAGCCATTTCGTATCTACCTCCAGAGCAAGTCTCCAAGGCCAGTCTCCAGAGCGTGCTCATGCACACCTGTCTCGTGCCGGGAGTGTGACAAAAGCCACTTCTGTACCTGAGACAAACAACCTGAACGAAAAACACATTTCCGTGGGGCAGCAAATTGAACTTTGTTTTTAAACTTAATCCAATAATGTTAACTGATATTCTTGCAAGAGGTGAGAGGCGTTTCTGTGAGAAACTGCTGTGACATACTCGTGAAATTTAATAGAGAATGCCACCTTTCAGATTTCTGCTGATTTGCCTGAGGTGATTTTCAGTGTTTAAGATTCCTTTCCCTGATGAGAAAGACTTGAAAACCTAACCTTCATGGTACAATCCTCATTCCATACTTTTGTGTGTAACAGTACACTTGACCATTTGTCTTGACAACATGCCACAGCACTGGGACTTAGAAAAGGGTAGTAAATGCTTTTGGAAACATGAAACCAAGTTAGGAACCAGTGAGAAAGCTAAAGAAGGAATGAATGTCTTAATCTGATGCGCTGTCATCCAAATTAGTTTCCCACAGGGTAGGTAAGTTTGCAGGCTCCTTACTTTTTCCTTCTTTCTCTGGTTTCTCTGCTGGGGCCACATCACAAAGAAACAGTGAGTTGGTAGAGGGACAGAGATAAGATTCAAATGATTTGAGTCTTATGGT